TGAAACTATATTTAATTCATCAGTTTGAAATTTATCAGTTTCAAATCTATATTCAATTAAATTATTTAATTATTTGTGACATCTTGTCTCATAGGAGATGTCATTTTATCCGCCGTACATGTATGTGGACAAACGCAACTCTAACAGTCAAAAAATTAGTAATCTTACCTTTCAATCCTGTCGACTCTCGGTGGCCAAGTTCCTCGGTGCCGTATACGGTACACTATAAAAATAATAGAAATATTAATATATATATGTATATGTATATATACAATATATGTATACTATACGAATACCGCGATACCAAAATAGCAATTATATGATCGTATTATATGCGTATTTTACTTATAAACTTATGTCCATTGTAATTTATATATAAAAATCATATTTTTCCAGACATATGCCTTAATTTTGTGCCATTTTAAACGAATTGTGAATTTTGTTCTATCTATAATAAATTTGATTGACACAAGTAAAAAATTTCATAACGCCAAACATGTCTATCAAATATTTTGGTTATATTAACATATTCGAATTTATGAATTTTGTTCTCTCTACAATAAGTTTGGTTGGCACAAGTAAAAAATGTCATACCGCTAACCATAATGTGTCTACCATATATTGTACTTTGGTTGCAGTTAACAAAATAATTTTTTCTGTGTAGCCGTTTAGCGAAAAATGAGTTTTCTGCTGATTTTTAATAAAGTCAGAATGTGCATTAAAAAAAATAATAAAAAATAAAAATAATAACACTATAATTATGTGCTTTTAATATACCTACCATAATTTAAATTTTGGTACTCATCCCTTTCGATCGATAAATCATTCTCGAAGCAATCACTCTCACTTTCCCCTTATAAGAGTAAAGTGTACCGGTCAAAATACAGATAGTGAAATTTTCCTAGGCTCAAATTGTTCCTCCATTTATGTGCTTTCAAAATATGTACGACCAGATTTTTGTTCTCATCCTCTTTGACTGATAAATCACTCCCGAAGCGATCATTCGTTCGTCAGCTGTCGACCTATAAACGGTCAAAAAGGGTTAGTATCAAAATTTAAATTGTGGCTGCAGTGCACCAAATATCGCCAGTGTTTGGCTGCAACACGAGCTATCCGTACTAGATGCATTGCTGCAAGAGGTCGACATTTTGAACAATATCTATATTAAGCAAGTAAATAAATACAATGTAAATAAGTAACAAAAAAGTAAACAAAAAAAACTACGATTTTCTGCAAAACGAAGCAAAAAGTATATTTCTATAGGACTTTTTTTCTCAGTTTATCGATCCCTCCACACGCTCCTGAAGTTTAGACATTTAAATTTTGGACACCCTATATATATCCTATGGTCCGTATTCAGAACGCGTTTTTATTGATAAAAGCACGCTTTTATCTCCGAAATTCTATAGTATGCGTAACGTAAACATGTAGAGCGCTAATATCGTTGTAAGCGCGTTCTGAACACAGACCTATATTTACATTATTAATGATTCTATAAAATTTATTAGAATTTAAAATTATTATGTAGATTTATTTAATATTTTCTTAAAAAAAATGAGAGAAAATATAAAATAAATGGAAATGCACTTCGTAAAGAAAACTACAATTATATAACAATTAGCTTTATTTTCTTCCTACTGAAGTGTAAAATCCAGATTCTTGAGTTAAGGACGTTCTCTGAAAAATCCATTTTCTTTAGATTTTTCTGAAACAGAAAAAGCTTGTTTTAGTATCCTGAACATGTGTTTTAAAATTCAGTACCCGGAACGAGATTAAAAATCAAAATATTCCACTTCAAAGTTGAAGCGTTTAACATAGGATTCCTATCTAAAGTTTATTCAAAAGTGATCTTTTTATCCATTATTAAAAGGTTTTTCTTTACAATCTTTAAAACAATAACATGAGCCAATAATATGAGACATAAAACTTGATATCACAAGGAATAATATGAAATTTGTCTGAATATGGCTTTCGGTATTCGTTTCTAAGAAATCATTGAGCAAAGTAAGTAGCTATTTTTTCGACCGGCCTATCTACCGGCCTACCAGTAGCAAAGGTGGAGGGCATTGACAATTTGGCATCGTCGTATGAAACGTCGTCGAAATTATATAATTTATACTTACATGCAGTATTTCACATTTTGATAATTATAATTAATGATTTGAATAATTTTTGAAATGTTAACAAAATTTTTTTATACTGAAATATTTACGTTGTTAATAATAACAGCTATTTCAAATCATTGAATCACCTAAAAAAATATTAAAAAATATTAAAAGTGAATTACACATTTAAAAACCACGTATTTTATTAAGTTTGTAACAGATCCTCACGAGATGGCTAAGATGTACAGCTTGATTGCATTGTTGCCGCAGCTGCTATTTACACTAATACAAGGACAACAATCTCCGTGTCCTCAATATTTTACATATATAATTAAACCGGGAACAGACGAAACGATAGGACAGATTGAAATCCAGTCTCCGCCTAAAGTTAGCGAACTCCATTTAAAAGTGGGCTTACAACTAGCTGCTAAGTTGCCTACAGTATGTATCCTTTTTTTATTAATAACCAATTATTAACAATGTAAAGTTTGCACATAAATTTATGTGGCTGTTACTGCAAACAATTTCAAATAATTTTTAGCATATTGTGAACTCAACAGTGGCCAACAATTATTTCTTTAAAGTATTTCTAAAACAATTTGGCTTGAAGTCATAACGTTTCTACAAGTAGTGTTTAAAAAAAGTAAGCTTTGCTTGTGTGTGGGTGTGTGTGTAATTTAAAAATAAAAATACATTTAAAAATGATCAAAATGTAATAACATAAAACAATTTTAGGGTATACTTCCAAAAACCAACTACTTCCAATTTTTATTAAATTTTGTAGAAAGCTTTATTTCGGGTTAAAATGACAGCCCTTAAAGAGATTTTGGCGACTTCTATCTCCCCTATAACTAAATATATACACACTAATTATAACTAAATAATATATACAGGGTGTTCATTTGAAAACTTTCCAGCTGATTATCTCGAAAAATATAAAAGATGCAAAAAAAGTTAAAACACGTATTCCACGATTTCGAGGGGGAAAGAGAATGGCACTTTCAATTTTTTATTTGAATGTTTTCAACGTAATTTGAAGGTCAAATTAATTTTTTTTTAATGGAAATGTATATTTTTTATTGCAGGATCTTATTCTACGTAAAAAAACAAGTAACTTCTATAGGAAACATTTTTTGTTCGATCACTATTTTAGGAGATATTTAAGAAAATAGCAAGGCATAGTTACTGTATAAAATATCATCATTTATTATAACAAATGTTCAAAATGTTCTCCGTTGTTTGCTAAACAATAATAAAGGCGATTCTGGAACTCTGAATGAACATTTGGAAAGTATTTGCTGGAATAGCTCGACATTCCTGTACAATTTTTTGACGTAGAGATTAAACTATATATACATATATATATATTTAGTTTGTTTATAATAGCATTAATTTTCTTTTGTTTACGGTCGCTTTTTAGATTATTACTTCATTACTGCTGTGATTTTTCAACAGTCAATTTAACTATTTTTATTTACTGACAACATTATGATAAAGGAAAAAAAACGAGAATTTCCAATAATTTTATATTTATCGACTATAATATCGAGAATGACCCAATCGGCGTCGAAACGTTTGTAATTTGTTTTTATGTTTTTAAATTAAGCGTTCTTTATATAACTGACTCTCAGCCCTTCAATTGTTCTATTTTGTTTTATTCTTACAGAGCCTTATTATTACATATTTTAAACATTTATTATTCATTTTACTGTTTAAAAGAAATCGTTTTTTTTTTTTTAGAGATCACCAAAAATCCTTCTATGGATTTTTATTTTATAATTAAATACGAATCGAAACCTATAACAGTCTAGTTGGATCTTAGGTGTTTATATATAATTTCGCGTGAATTTATATACTGATATATAGTCTTACTGATATGTAGTCTTTCTAAACTGCGCGCCGAACAATTGTCGGTCTTGAAATGCAACTCTAATAAACTACCGCAGTACTATCACAAATTAAATTGATTAACAATTTAATAATTATTTGATGCTCTTCTGGCATCTTATATTGATCTTTAACGACGTTAAAATCTGAAAATAATAATTATTGCGAAAAATATTACCTTGGCTGATAGTCAAATCCGGACCGCTCGCTTTACGCATAAATGTTTTAGCTACTTAGACTACTGAGTAATATTATATTTTAGTAATGTTCCTCGCAATAACTGGTATATGTGAAGTGAAAAACGTTTTCTTTTAGGCACGTAAATGAATAATATTAAATTTGAAACGACCGTTAATGGAACAACATAACTAAATACGAATCGAAGCTTATAATAGTCTAGCTGGATCTTAGTTGCTTATATATAATTTCGCGTGAATTTATATACTGATATGTAGTCATTCTAAACTGCAATCTAAAACTTTAGATTAATTTTTATTTTAGCTTAAAATGAAGTTTTTTATAAAGTTGAATTGAAATTTGAGGTAGTCGGTTTCCGAAAGTTTATCCCAATTTTATAAAAAAAATTTTTCTTTTTTTTAAATAAATTAATCGTCGTATTTTAGAAAAACTATGGTCGATTAAAATTAGCACGATCGACCGAGGACTCTGCTCAAGCTGTTCTACAAGGCAGGAATTTATTATATCATATTTATTTCCCTTTGCGCCAACCGCTTCCAACATTGACCGCGATGTGGTTCAATGGTAAAAAATATTGTACGGGTTCCGATAGTAAGTACTGTATTTGCTTGAAAAATAATATACCATGTTCGAAATAATAGGAGTAGGTTTGACGTCTAAATATCTATTCTTTCGAGTCATAAATTAATTCTCATTACATCTTATTTATTAAGACGACGAAGAGACGAATTGAAAGATTCTCACTCTAAAAAGACGTGAGATTTGAATATAATATTTTATTTCAGCAACAGGAGATGTCGTGACTACTATTACAACCATTACATTGGAACATACTCTATATCTACCAAATATGCCTTCGCGAAATTCACAACTTAATGAATCGCATCAGAATTCACAACCTAATGAATCGCATCAGCATTCACAACTTAATGAATCGCATCAGAATTTAACATTAAAACCGGATTTTCAACAAAGTACCCAGAAGAAATCCACCGTCATTTTATCTCAAGACAATGGCAATATATTTCTAGAAAGGCTCCCGAGCAAACATAATAATAACATATATCAGATAAATCAAACCCCACAATATGATTTTAATAATCATAATATATTCTTAAGGCCATCTTTGACAAAAATTCCACAAAACAATAACAATAATAATAACAATATATTCCTACGGCCAAATCAGTCTTCTAGGCCTCAGCCAAATCAGTCTTCTAGGCCTCAGCCAAATCAGTCTTCTAGGCCTCAGCCAAATCAGTCTCCAGCCAAACCAGTTCCACACTACAACAACAACAACAACAACAACAACAACAATAACAATAACAACAACAATAATAATGATAATAAAATCACTAATATAAATAATAACAATGAATGCGGCATCAGCAGCCGCTCTGTAAGTGCAAATCTTTTGATTGCTAATGGAAAACAAACCTTGCCTGGCGAATGGCCATGGCTAGTGGCACTTTTCGTCCTTACCAGCCATTATGAATTTCAATGTGCTGGTAGCATTCTGACAAACAAATATGTCCTAACAGGTAAATTAATAAAAAAAAAAAATTGTATTACTTTCCATATGTTCAACAACGTAAACTTTTTACCTATACGTGCTTTCTTTTTTATATTGTAAAATATTTATTTATACTTATATAAAAAAATTACTAGTTAATTTAAAAGTTAGTGTTTAAAGGATTAATAATAGACACTACAAGTCTTTTATCCCGAGCCACCAAAGTCCATTTTTCGGGGGTGCATAATTACTAAAATATAAAAAATTTTAAATTGAACATTATATATATATATGTCCTGAAAGGCGGCATCGCCACAAAAGTAATTTGAGCCGAAAAAATTTAAAATCGGTCAAGCCGTTCTGGGCCCCTATTCTGTAACTCTTAAGGGGATGCTGGACCCGCCTGTTTTATTATTACTTACTTGGTTAAAGACTCGTTTCTCTTAATTGCATTTACGAATGGAAAAATCCTTCTGCATAATTAAAATATCGACAACAATGAATTGCGCTAGCTACATTTCAATACGAAAAACGGAAAAAAATTTACAGTTTCGTTATCGAAAATTACAGAAGCCGATAAACTGTAAGTTTTTAATTTTCTTTCGTTTTTCGTATTGAAATGTAGCTAGCGCAATTCATTATTGTCGATACTTTAATTATACAGAAGGATTTTTCTATCCGTAAATGCAATTAAGAGAAACGAGTCTTTAACTAATTGTAAATAATGATAAAACAGGCACTCCAGCATCCCCTTAACGCGTTACAGAATACAGGGGCTGGAGATACAAGCGGTCGAAAAGTGATGATTTTAATGAAAAGTTAAGAAATGTCTCCTTCTCTGTCTGTCCGAAATTATAATTTTTTAATATCCTCTCTCACCTTTTAATCATACCTCCACCAACTCCGACCCACCGCACCCCCTCCCCCTCTTCCCCCTCCCCCACTACCCATATATTTCGCCGTATTTCACTCTCTTTCGTTACATAATATTTTTAAATCATTTTTATGATATGATTTTTTTCGGATATTACTTTTCAGAGTACAAATACATCACAAATATACAGGGTGTCTTAGAAAAACCGGAAAAAATTACATGCATAGGTAGAGCGGACTGAACTGAGTCAAAAAGTCCTGTACCGTTTTGCAATTTTCGTAATAGTTAGATAACGAGATAATAAATAGATTAAATTAAAATTAAAAGTTACTGAATACGTGCGTACGCCCATGATAGCTCGATGACGCACAGACCGCGAAGAACGGGGACTGCCTGCCTGCCTAGCAAGAGTCCCACGCCGCGCACACCGCCGCGCGCTGCGAGCCCCAAACGTCGTGACTCACAAGGGAAGTGGCCAAGTAATCGCGAATTGATACAAAATATATTTCGTTGGAGAGGTCTTGCCGAGTAGAGTACAACTGTGCAATATTTCGCTTGAATGGCGCCTCTAAAGGGCGTTATGTGCAATAGAAGTTATTCAATGTGTACCTAATGATAATAAGAATCACGCTCACACCTCCACCAACCTCGACCCATCGCACCCCCTCCACCTTCCCTCCTCCATCCCTCCCTCTCCCCACTGCTTCTTTTCGCCGTTTTTCACTCTCTTTTGTTATATAATATTTTTAAATTATTTTTTAAATATTTTTTTCATATATATTTTTTATATATTTGTACTATAAAAAATAAGTGATATCCTAAAAAAATCATATCATTAAAAATGAAAGCGTCAAGCCGTGTTTGAAAAAAAGATCCTCAAAAACCTATAAAATTTTAAATGATTATCTAATAATAATATATAATATATTACCACGAAAAGTAACTGATACATTATATTAATTAAAGGTGCCAGCTCAAAGTGAATTTTTTTATGTTATGTGCAATAGAAGAAATACGATGTGTACCTAATGATAATTAGAACAAAAAAATACTCAAAAATTTAAACCTTTTTATCTAATAATAATATATTACCATGAAAAGTAACTGATATGTTACTAATAAAGGTGCCAGTACAAAGTAAAAACATACATAAAGTGTATGTAACTTTCGGCCTAATTTCGAATCGCCTCAGCCTTTCGCTGTTTCCCTCACCTCACCGCGCGCAGAACAAATGTCGCTCGAGCATCGTGCGAGAGAGTGAAAAACGGCGAAAAGAGAAGGAGTGGGGAGGTGGAGGGGGTACGATGGGTCGAGGTTGGTGGAGGTGTGAGCGAAATTCTTATTATCATTAGGTACACAATGAATAACTTCTATTGCACATAACGCCCTCTAGAGGCGCCATTCATGCGAAATATTGCACAGTTGTATTCCACTCGGCAAGACCTTTCCAACGATATATATTTTTTGTTACGCATACGCATGACAAAAATTATTATGAGTAACTAGTAGGGATATATTGTTTATAGCGCCGGACGGACGCGAATACGCACTCGCTTCGCTCGTGCTTTCGCGTCCTTCGCGCCATAACACTAGCCCCCACGCGTTACACAATGTACTATTTTATCAATTCGCGATTTAAGCAGGGAGCACAGACTTTTGCATAACGCATAAAGCATGTGCATAAGGAATTTCATTGGTCCATTTTCTTATGCATGAGTCAATGGACCAATCAAATTCTTTATGTATATGGTTTATGCGTTATGCAAAAGTCTGTGTTCCCCGCTTAACACTTTGGCCACTTCCCTTGTCAGACAGTGGCGCGCTTACCAGGCAGTCCCCGCTCTCCGCGGTCCGCGGCCAACGAGCTATCATGGGCGTACAACTATTGTTAGTAATAGACCAAGGCGGATGCACGTATTTGGTAAATTTTACTAATTATTATCTCGTTGACTATTGCGAAAATTGTAAAACAGTAGAGGACTTTTCAACTCAGTTCAGTCCGCTTTATCTGTGCATGTGATTTTTTGCGGTCTTTCTGGGACACCCTGTATATAAAAAAAATGATTGAAAAATATTATAATAACGAAAGAGAGTTAAAATGGTGAAAGAGAGGGGTAGTGGGGGTGGTGGGAGGAGGGGGAGAGGAAGAAGAGGGGGTGTGGACGTTTGACGTAATGAAGAGTTTTTGCAATACCATGTATTTTTACTTTCTACACCAAATAATGTAATTTTTATTATTCACCATATCTGAATACACGCGCGCGCGTATTCTTTTTTGTATTTTTTAACAGAGAGTTAGATTATAGAATAAAATGTAATATTTATGCCTATATTTTCTTTTTAGCGGGGCATTGTTTGAAGAACCTTGAAAGCAATGAGACTATACCTCCTAATTTATTGACTGTGGCATTGGGGCGATTTAACTTGTACAGATTTCGCGAGGTGGGAAGCGTGAATCGGGAAGTCGCAAGTTATAGGATTCATCCCGATTATACGCATGACGCTAACGGTGACTCCGATCTGGCGATTTTAATCCTCAGACAGCCTGTGGAATATAATCATTTCATCAAACCTATTTGTCTATGGTCTGGTTCATCCGATCTTTACAACGTTGTCAGTAGAATGGGATACGTCGTGGGTTGGGGCAAAGACGAATTCGGTAATCCTTATACCGATCATCCACGGATGGCGATAATGACGATAGTTAGTCTGGTAAGAACCTTTAGGAGTCTTTTTAAAAGAAAATTGTTTTTTAATTTTGCTATTTAATTGATATACAAATTGAATCGAAAGCGAAATTCTCTAAACGAAACGTCCGAAAAATGAGAATAGGTCGATTTACAATTTAGATAAACGAATAAAAAATGCTTATTTTTGCACTGTTAAAAACGGCTACGTTCAGCAGGTTCAGCAGACTCAACAGTTGAATGAGCGCTCTCTGTTATTGGTTTATTCTTCTAGACTTAAAATTTGATTGAATGATCTAAAAGAATACACTAATAACACAGTGAGCGCTCACTCAACTGCAGTTAAGTCTGCTGAACGTAGCCATTGACGCGCGAGACTTTATTTACTTTTTACTGTACATTTGCATAGTTATATACATTTACATAACTACAATAATTATTATTAAGGGGATCTTAAAGCAAAGCTCGAACTCTAACAAAATCGCCAGATATCGCTGTTTTACAACACACCGACATATCTTTTACATACTACCACATTAATATCTCATGCAGACAGTGATGCACACAGTCGCATTACCTGTCAATTTTTGTATCGTAAATTCGTCGTGATAAAGTGTCTAAGTCTAATTCTAAGCATTCGACGCTATTTCTTTATGCAAACTACGTGTCTGTGGACTACTATTTCTTATACAGATTGCGCAGCTTTTATATGAAACAAATGTTGTTACGATGTGCAACTATAGCTCTAGAGTGCCATATTGAAATAAAAAATGGAAAAAAAAACTTAATTTTGAAATTTTTTATCGTTTTCAGCATAATTCTCCCCCACAGATGCGCATTAACGCGTACTTTAATACTGTAAAAAATATTTCGATCTGTGAATGTGGACAAAATAAGTATTTACGATACAAAAATTGTATAGTTTAGTCGGTAATACAGACGACTTTAGGATTCCCTTAATGCATTGTAATGACAAAGATATGTATTTTTGTAACTAATCGATGGTCATTGCATGCTTAGAATAACAAATTTGATGATTATTTATATCAGAGGAGACGCGGTAGTGTCTCCGGCCATGTTCAAAAACTGAAAGACACTACAAGTCTTTTATCCCGAGTCACCAAAGTCCATTTTTGGGGGGTGCATTACTACTAAAATATAAAATATAAAATATAAAAAATTTTGAATCGAACGTTATATGTCCTGAAAGGCGGCATCGCCACGAATAATTTGAGCCAAAAAAATTTTAAATCGGTCAAGCCGTTCTGGAGATACAAGCGGTCGAAAAGTGGTGATTTTAATGAAAAATTGTCAATGAAATAAAAAGGCAATTAAGAGTCAATATTATTTGTGTGAACTAATAAAACATTTAATATATTATAAATTAAAATAAAATTTATTTGTTCTATTTTTGTTTAAAATAAAATATCAATAAACTAAAATTCACACTTTAAAAGCGCACGCAAACATAATTCAAATCATAACGTTTCGGCTGCATATTCGAGCCATCCTCAGATGTACATATAAATATTAATTAACGCAGTAAAACATCTTTAGTTAACGCAGAAAAAACAAGAAAAATACTATGATGGATTGTTATGTTCTAAAACGTTGAGTATTTCCACAGAGAGAACAATTTAGCTCATCAAGCGATTGGAAGATCGTTTGTGATGTATCCCTGTGGTAATTAGTACCACAGGGATACATCACAAACGATCTTCCAATCGCTTGATGAGCTAAATTGTTCTCTCTGTGGAAATACTCAACGTTTTATAACAATCCATCATAGTATTTTTCTTGTTTTTTCTGCGTTAACTAAAGATGTTTTACTGCGTTAATTAATATTTATATGTACATCTGAGGATGGCTCGAATATGCAGCCGAAACGTTATGATTTGAATTATGTTTGCGTGCGCTTTTAAAGTGTGAATTTTAGTTTATTGATATTTTATTTTAATTTATAATATATTAAATGTTTTATTAGTTCACACAAATAATATTGACTCTTAATTGCCTTTTTATTTCATTGACAATTTTTAATACTAAGAGTCCTGTATATTCGTTTCATTTTCATGAAAAATTAAGAAACGTCTTCCTCTTCTCCTTTCGCTTCTTCTTCTTTATCCGCATTCAAGACCGTATTAAAACTTTCTACATCCTCTCTCACCTTTCACTCATACCTTCACCCGACCCACCGGACCTTTTCATTTTAGTTCTGAAAACTCAGGATTGTTTGTTCACGTAATACAGGTGTTGAACTGTTGTTCGGTTCATACGAACTGTAAAACTTTTGTATTAAGGAAACATTTATGTCAGGTGACAGCTCTACGGTTGAAAAAAATGTAAATTTTTAAGTTTTTTAATTTTAGTATA